TTGCAGTATACATATTAAATTTGTCGGGCCATTAGGATAACTAATTCCCTTAGCTGTAAATATAAAACGACAGCTAAATATCTGTAAGAAAAAAAAACTATAGCGCAAAGTACAATATTTTACAAATCGGATTCCTGCTCCATTAATTGGGGCAAAAGTCCGCATAGCGGATCTTTGTTTCCTTTGAATAAAAATAATTTTATAAAAATAAAAGTTAACAACGTAATAAATACAAATCATTATTTTGTCAAAAACATGATCTAAAAACTTATAAACATGCAAACAAGTAGATATATGACCTAAACGCAAAAAGATAAAAATAAAAGAATTTTTAAAAGCTGAAACACTTTTTAGGTTACAACTAGTGCAACATTAAATCACTGAAATCGGTTGAAAAGCTCACAAAGTCCTTAAATCTTATAAAACTGCCTAGCAATGGCTTGGAAAGTTTTCTTATAATGCCTGTCTTGGTAACAAAAAACTCTTCGTCAGTTTCTGAAAAACGCATTGTATTGGGTCCTCATCTAGCATTACAGTAATTCACATAACTTACATTCGAAATGAGTCCTTGGTTTTGTCGTAAACTTTTACTATAGCAACTCTCCTGGACTTAATTCGGATAATTCATTTTCAGCATCATTTTCAGAGAAACTTAAATTGCTGCTACTATCATGAAGTGATATTTACGCGTTCGAGTCAGAAGAATGTTCATATTCCTTTTTATTTAGTATATTTTGTTTTTCTTCAAATACTTTTCTTACTGTATTTTTATTTTCCTTAATGCTTTCCTTCCTTTTTTCTCGTTCATTTTGTATTTCTTCTCCAGATCTGAGATTTCCATTTGCTCTTTATGTGGAGTAGATTGTCAGAAGTGTAGATTTCAATCCTTTTCTTATTATTTTTGCTTAAATTTGGCAACGCAAAAATTACTGACGGTAACGTAGTAGACATTTCATTTTTAGAGCTTTCGGGTTTTGATTCCAGATTACTTGAAATGCTGGTAAATTTTCAACATTTCGTTCTTCGGCTTCACCACTTGGTTCTTCTGCTTTACTATTTGGTTCTTCAGCTTTTTCTATAGTAGCAGTTTTTTCATAGGCCTGCTTGAATAATCCAGCGACGTGGTATTCTGTTGCTACTTGCCCGGGATGAGATGTGGTCCAATTATCATACAAATCATCATAGTGAGCTTTTAATGGCCTAAACAAGTTTCTTTTTAGTGGTTGAGTTCGATGGCTGCTATGAGGTGGGAGGCTGAGCAAATGGATGTTATTATTTTTTTGCGTAAGTTGTGGCCTCTAGAGTGATATGGGATATGTGGTTATTATAGCACTGGGCTTTCGGCGGTAGGATTTGTATATTTGCGAAAGTGCTCCAAAAATTGAAGAAACTTAACTGAATTCATGTATCCAGAATCAGTTACAGCCAAAACAGAAACGGAAGCGTCATTTATCAAACGAGGATTCAGTCTTTTGCGTGCGAAAATAAAGAATGGTGAAACATAGTGTCCTATTGCACTCATAGAACATGCAGCTGTCACAGTTCTTCCTTGCTCTGCAGCTACATTTTTTGCTACTTTTTTTTTCAGTGGGAACAACATGTTTAGGTAATTTATTTGGTACTGTTTGTAAACCACTCTCATCCATGTTGCAGATTTTATTCGCTGGAAATTTATATTTCTCCAAGACAGATTTTAAATTTTGAAAATACTGTGTTAATTGATGTTTGTTGAACACTATGGTCCTAGCTACACTGGTTTTTCGTGAGGTACGTAGTGAAAGGCGGTTTCGTTTCATAAAATTTCTAGTCCAATCTCTAGCTGCTAGTTTTGATTGCTTAGAAAATTGATGCTGGATACCATTTCGTTCTGCAAACTGATATGCCAGAAAACGAAGCGATTTTAGGGTAAGCCCATAGAAATGTAAGTCTAAAGCTTTACAATTATCCACTATTTGCTTGGTCGAAATTGGAGTAAATACAGGTCGAAATGTAACAAAGAAATTAACACTGCTGTCCGCTTTTAGCCTCTTTTGATTGGTAGATTTATCATAGCCAAGAGTTCTACCTATTTCTCGTGTTGATAGACCTCTTTCCTTTAAATGTTTAGCCTGTTCATCCTCTGTAAATGGTATCAGGTTCTCATTTTTTCTCTTGTACGTCCTAAAACAGAAACGTAATTTTTACAAACAAACAAAAAAAAACGTAATTTATACAAACTTTTAAAAAAACTTTATGAATTAGGTAAAATTCTAGATAAAAAATAAAAACGTGCTAATGACGCAAAAATCCGCATGCGGATCTTTGCCACTTCCGACATGCGGACTTATACCCCAAAATTCACTATTAATTTTAGCTAGGCATGTTTGGAACAACCTAACTTTAAATTAAAGATTGTGTTTCTAAACATTATTTACAATAAACCGGCTTACATAAATTAGTTAAAAGACTTTTTAGAAAAATAGCTTAACACATACAATCTGCAAAGGAATGATTAAAAAAATTAGAATAGAACACCAAAATTTAAAACTTACCTCATATTTTCGTTAACTACCGCCTCACGAAGCACGTGTATAATCTGCAGCGCTGTTCGAAAGGTACTGACCGATCCATGTGTGAATCTAGTTAATATATTCGCTCTGTCATCTATAATGTCATTCTAGAAGGCGTGTGCGGATTCTTACCCCATGCGGACTTTTGCCCCCACCTACCCTATACACTGAAAATTAAAATTATTCATGGTTCGTTGTTTCTCACTTACTCGAAATATTTTGTATGTTTACGATATTAAAAATAAATTAATCAACCCAATAGTCATTATTTATTCAAATGAAAAAACTGTTTCAAATACCTTTAAATTATTGGAAGGTACGCCGCTGAATAAAACGGGAATATCACAGTTTATCACCTCGCCTCTTTCCCCGCGCCTATAAACTTTTTGACTTCAAGTTTAGACGAACAGAATGCAGGGCATGCCCAGTCCATTTTTATTTATACGTCCATGGATGAAACCAAATCAACATACAAACTCAAAAACAAAGACATGGGATATAATGTACTAATTAATTGAGGATGACATATTATCCTCATCTGACACAAAAGGCTATAAATCTTTAATGTGCCACTTACTGAGATCTGAACCATTTAAATCTGACAAACGATATACCACTGGTGACAACTTTTCCTTGATGGTTGCTTCAATATACTTTGGTGCTAGTTTGGACATAAACTTGTTGACCGCACAAGACAAAACTTTATTTCTTTTCCAAACTCCCCACTTATCACCCACTTGAAATTGGACTTCTCTTCTACGTAAGTGGTAACTTCTAACGTTACGTTCATATCCTTTTCGAAGATTAGCCTTAACCTTTTCATTACTTAAGCACATCATAACGCATCTTGGGCCAATATTATCTTTACTGAATACGGGACAAAGTTTTGTAAAATCCAAAGTGAGCCCACGTAGGTGGCTCATGACAAGACTGCATCACTTCAAGACTTTGTGGTTTGGTCACAATAATTTTCCATTCTACATCATTAGTTTTAAAAGAATTGGTGGTAGGGACAAACTTATAAACAAAATCATTCTCCACCTTCCACTATGGAAAGTCAAGGGCGGATCGGAGTATCTTTAATATCAAATTATCGAACCAAGGGTCTATTCTATCTACATCAATTTCTAAATAACAAATCTCTTGGATAGTTTCGGCTGGATTATTGGTGTGAGTTCGAGAGCATCAGGGACTAAATGGAATTTTCCTATTCTATGAATCAAATCAAAAGTATGCTGTCTTAAGCGCATGGCCCATCTGGCTAATTTACCAGTAGGACTGGACAATTTATTCAACCAAAGAAGTGAATGGTGGTCAGTAATGACCGAAAACTTGACTCCCTCTATGTAACCTCGAAATTTCTCGATAGCGAAGATCACAGCAAGGCATTCTCTCTCTGTAACTGAGTAATTTCTTTCAGCTATAGAAAGAGATCTACTCACATAAGCTATAATCTTTTCTTCACCATATATAGTTTGTTTCAAAACACCACCAAGACCGGTGTCAGATGCATCACATTGCACAACAAAGGGAAGATAAACATTGGGCTGGGCTAAAAATGGGGCAGAAATTAGGAGTTCCTTAATTTGTGACGGGTAGCTCTTTCGGGGCGACAGACTCAGTAAAACACAGGTTGAAATAAAAATAAATCTATTAATTTAGCATATATACAATAAATTAAAATAAAATGAATCCTACGTCCCCGCCTGGATCCCGCGATGAATAAACTTCCCGGCGAACGTCTATAAAAGAAAAAAAATATTATTAATAACAAAGAAATGAAATAGGTGAAGTCGATCGCACGCAGACTTATACTCGCTTCCGCTTCAATTCAGCGGAAGCTCCGAACGCACTCGCAAACAAAATATTCGGCTGTGCAGACCCACGGTAATGTTCAATACACAATACCGATGGGTTCTGCTTGGTTAAGGACTGAGTATGATCCTCAATAGGGAAATCTCTATGTCCGGGTTGGATCGCACGTTCAATACCCCGGCGAGTCAGTGAGCCTAGAGCGCTAGCTACAAGACTATCTAATTCCGCTACTCACACGCCCTAAATAGCCGCTCCGAATCCCACTTCGTCGTCTCGTTGTAGAAGTGGATGCGCAAATATTGACACTCCCACGGTTCAAACTGTTAATTAGAACATCGTTACTAATATTCAAAAAAGCTTGTTCAGCTTCACTTGTCCATACTACAGGCAAGTTCAAATACACCAGATTGGATGAAAATGTAATAATATTGAATTTATATACACAGTTCTGATGCTGTAGATAGATTTTTGAGGTGGAAATCGAAGCGTCAAATAGAATTTTTCAGTTAAAATCGTGTATTCCAGAAAATAATCTTTTTCTGACGTATCTTTGTCTAAAACATTGACGGCTTGTTATTAATTCCGATAAGTTGCCGTTAAGTTTGTTATGTTTAATAAAATTTATCCTAATTTTAGGGCCGAATTTGATATGGATACGGAAGTACGACTACTTCGATATTTTTGTGTACGCCTCGTTATAGATGAAGAATGTTCAAAATTGTACTATAATACAGAAAACGCAAAAATGTACCATGGAGAAGAAGAACAGGTTTTGGTAATAGAATTCAATTTAATCCCAACAATAGAAATGTTGCAAAGTACATATCCTAAATTTACAAACATTAAAAGTTTAGTTGTCAATAATAATTCCAATATTGAGACAATTCAATTGGTGTCTGACTTATGGGAACGTGGATTACTAATAACTAATAATTCAGTTACTACTGTAATTGGAGACTAATTTTTATAGATATAAATGAAAATGCCGAATTCGAACGCAACGTATTCAAATAGATGAGAATGGGATTTTTACTTAAATCTAACACGTAGAGAAAAATTTTTAAATAAAAACTTAAAAAATTTCGTTGTATTTTTTAATATATATATATATATATATATATATATATATATATATATATATATATATATATATATATATACATCCCGCCATCATTTTAAACTCATTTCACGTTGCAGTAATTTAGCATCACCAAGAAAATCAATTATTTTCTATATATAAGTCGTGTATGTTCGTTTAGTGCACCTCTGTTGGCTTAGCAGCGTTGTCGGTTTTTCAATATTCTGGTTTTTTTATATATTTAATTTTTTACATCAATCCTACGTTTTAACATCGATCATTTAAAATCACTGTATTTGCTATCATTTTAAAGCCAATAGATGTTGCCGGTATTAATACTTAAAATAATATCTAGGTACATAAATATCGATCCGTTTTCGGTCAACGTTCTAACGACCTGCTAACACGTTGCGGTCTTAACTGGTTTTTTCTTTGCCTAAATGTTAGGTATATTTATTTAAGGTAGATATTTTTCCCAGTGAATTGTGTAGGGGAATATTTTACATAAATTTCAATTTACAACCTGTTTAATCCAAGCTATCGGTGAATAGTTTGAGGTAAATATTATGTTTTTATGGGATTACGCCTCAATTATTGGTTGTAATTGTGATAAGAATCACATTTTTAATTAACTTTGTGTTTGGCATTTTGATTTCCATTCCGGAAATCGTTCTCAAAAACGTTTTTTTGTACAAAATGTGTATACACATTTTAGATAATTTGTACAATAAACAATAAATATTAGTTAATTAAAAATGTAATTAATATTACATTTTTATATACATAATATACCTACATAAAAAAATAATATTTAACTTAACCATGCAACAAGAAAGTATTTCACAGAACCTCGGTAAATAGTTTTCAAAAATCTACGGTTATTTAAATTCTAAATAGTATGAGAGATAGCTGATGAAAATTCGTAAAGATGTACAGTTGATTATGCTTTGTTCTTTTTTTTTAACAATCTTAAAAGATACAAAAAAAAATGTTTGCTTGTAAAACGTTTTTTTACATTCTAAAGAAAAATGATTAAAATAAAAGTTGTAGACCATAAAAGGTTTTTTATGTTGAGGGATACTAAATTAAAATATATACTTAATTGAACAAGGTAATTGCAAAAAACCCTAAACTCTAAAATATTATGTTTTTAGTAATTTATAAATGGTAATAATTGAATTTTTTGCCCAACGGCAGATAATATAGCTACTTCAAATTATCGCAATTAATGGGTTTTTAAGGTGTGGTAAATATTAAGCAAATCACTGTGAACTTGTCCAAATACTTGTCCAATACTTGTATGTACAAGTATTTTGTAATTTGCAATCCTAATGGCTTATAAGAAAACAAAGAGACAAAAACAGAACCATATTTAACCAATAAGAACTAAGATAACATTTAATTCTTAAAATCATATTTTTATTGTTTATTAATTCAAGATCTAAAAATTAAAAAGATTTTGAATTAAGATCTATAATATATGATCGAAGTTATAGATGGCTTACACAGTAAAGAAGTAAAATGTTATAACCCATTAAAATAATGGTATTCGTAAATTACCGCCACGGAAGAGTACCACGGAGGTAAGAACTGACTGAGCTTGTTTTTTTTTAGATTCGGACTTTAAATTGAAGCACGCTTGCAAAATATTTAATATCTCGGCTTCTGTGGCACATAGAACCTTCATTTCTTTACTAGAGTAGCTCAACCAAATAATAAGAATTGTGCCATTTTGACCTATCTTACTAAATTTTTCCGTTGAAAGTATGAACTCTTATAAAAGCGAGTTCGGTTTACAGAATACACGTGTGTATAGAGAGTACAGAGTGACTATCTGGTCAAGTACAGTCGTTTAGATAATCGCTCTTTGGGATAAACAAATTGGATAACTTTGTGATCTATGTGAAATATACCACACTTTAATAATGTATTCTTCTTCTCTTCTTCAGCCTTCATTTATCCAATGTTGGACATAGGCCTCCTCCAATTGCTTCCACGCTTCCCTATCTTTTGCAATTCTCATCCACTGCTTTCCAGCTACAGCAGTTATATCGTCTATCCATCTCTTTTTAGGTCTTCCCACGCTTCTTTTTGTTTCTCGAGGTCTCCAGAATGTCACTTTATGAGACCATCTGTTGGTGTCTTGTCTTGGTACATATGCTACCCATTGCCATCTCAATGTCGCTATTTTTTCCATGATGTCGGTTACTTTAGTTCTTTGACGTATTTCGGTGTTAGGAATTTTGTCTCTGAGGCTTATATTTAACATGGCCCTCTCCATGGCCCTTTGAGTTACTCTTAATTGTTCTGCCATTTTTCTTGTTATTGCCATAGTTTCCAATCCATAAGTTGCAACTGGTAGTATACAAGTGTCATAGGTTTTTCGTTTTAAGTGAATTGGGATTTTTCTGTCTTTTAAAATAAAGCTCAACTTACCAAAAGCAGCCCATGATATTTGTGTCCTTCTTTTAATTTCTAGGGTTTGATTTTCCTTTTCGTTTTTAATTGCATGTCCTAGATATAATATATTGTTCTACCTTTTCTATATTGATGTTATCTATCGTGATGTTTTTTAGGCTGTTGCTTAATATCTTTGTTTTGTCGAGATTCATTTTTAATCCTATTTGATTCGATTTGTGATTTAAATCTTGTAGCATTGATTTTAGTTCATCTTTTACTATGTCGTCTGCAAAACGCAAATGGTTAAGATATTCTCCATCTATTTTTAATCCATTTTCGGCCCAATTTAGTTGTTTGAAAACATTTTCTAATGCCAAAGTAAATAACTTGGGTGAGATGGTGTCGCCCTGTCTCACACCTTTGCCAAGGTCTATTTTTCTAGTTTCCAGATCATCATCTATTTTTACGTGAAAAGTAGCATCATCGTATATATTCTTAAGGAGGGCAGCATATCTTGAATCTACTCTGGCGTCGTCCAATGCTGTTAAGACAGCCCAATTCTCGATACTGTCGAATGCTTTGTGATAATCGACAAATGCCAGATGTAGTGGTATGTTGTACTCTATTGTTTTTTCAATAATGGTCCGAATTGTTTGCAAGTGATCGATAGTGCTAAAACCCTTACGAAAGCCTGCTTGCTCCACTGGTTGGTATGCATCTAGTTTAGCTGTCAATCTATTTGTTATTATTCGGGTTAGTAGTTTGTAAAGGTGTGACAATAAGCTTATTGGTCGGTAGTTTCCTATATTTGCGGCGTCCCCTTTTTTATGGAGTAGAATGACTGCCGCATTTTTCCATGTGTTCGGTATTTATCCTTCCAATAGGCATTTATTAAGTAATGCTCTTATTGCCTCTTCTAATGCAGTGCCTCCCATTTTTAGCATCTCTGAAGTAATTTTATCTTCTCCTGGTGTTTTCCCACTTTTCATTTGTTTTAGGGCGGCTTTAATTTCTGATGTTATTATTTCAGGGAAGGCCTCTGAGCCCACATTTAAGATGTGTTTTTTTGGTATACCGGGGTTCGGAATAGTAAAAGTATACAGCTTCTCATAAAATGTTCGAATTTCTCGAACGATCTCTTCCTTATGCGAGCACAATGTTCCACGGTCGTCTTTTATCTTTATGATTTTATTCCTGCCAGTGGATTTACATGTTTTTAGTACTTTCATGTTCTTATTATTTTCTATGGTTTCAAGAATCTGGTTTGTTCTATAAACTCTGAGGTCTTAATATTTTTCTTAACGCTTCTGTTGAGCATTTTATAGTCCGGGTTATCTCTGTTCGTTCTTCTTCTTTTCTCTATCTGTTCTATAGTTTCGGGTTTTAGTTTAGCTTCCTTTTGTTTTCTTATTCTGCAACAGAGTTTCTTAGTGACTGTTTGTATGTCTTTAGTTATTTTCTCAGCTAGTTCATCTATATTCTTGTGCTCAAAGGTATTTGCTACTAGTTTTCGTGCTAATTCTTCTTGGTATTTCTCTTTATTACTGGCTAGGATGTCTGCCGTCGGTAAAGGGTTTGTTGTTAATAGTTTTCGTCTTTCTCTCTTTACGTTAATACGTATATCAGCACGAACTAGTCTATGGTCACTGCCGGTATTAAATTTGTTCAATACCTCGATGTTTATAACGTATTAACGTTATTATATATATATATATATATATATATATATATATATATATATATATATATATATATATATATACATCATTCTACCATTGTTGCGTCTGATAACATCCCAATTACATACATTATTGATACCTTCGAATTATTGCGTCCGTATATCGGAAGCAATAATGTCAAGCCATAGTTTTCGTTGTTCCTGTCGTTTTTTAAGTATCATTGGTACGTTGGAAATTGAAAAAATGTTTAAACTTCTTCTTTTTAATTTCAATTTGGCAACATATAATCAGATGACAGAGATATTTTATGATTTCAATTTGTATCAGGACGCAATAGTATTAGCCAACCGTATATTGTTAGTTCATCGATTTTCCGTATTGGCGCTAAGATAATATACTACATCAAATATACGCTTTACAAACTACGCACATTATTCCTTCCTACATGTGGCAACTCTGTTATCTATTTTTAGAAGCAGTTCACGACGCCAAGCGATTCACGATATGGACAATGGATATAATATTGTGCAATATTTTGTATATTATGCGGTTGTCTCGTAATAATTGTATGTGGGAGTTTTAAGTGAATGTTTTTGTTTAGTTTTCTTAACAGATAAATACCTATCAATATGAATCGCGGGAAGCGAATATTAAATGAGTGTCTAAATCAAGGTTCTGAAGGTAAGCAATTAATAAGCATTTATAATTTTGAATGGTCAAGTAATTTATGTGATTGATTTTAATGTTTTATTATTTCTGTTAATATAGATAGTAAGCCTGCATCTGGTCAAAAAAAATTGGAAT